TTTACGGCTTAGGGTTTAGGGTTTAGGGTTTAGGGTTTAGGGTTTAGGCTCTAAACCCAAACCCTGGCGGTTAGATTTTAGGGTCAAGCCCTCAGCCCTAGGAGCCCGGAGCCCAAAACACTCGTCGAGCCTCAAGGGACTAGACGAGGGACCCTTATAAGGGACCTTAGGGTTTAGGGTTTAGGGTTTGGGGTTTAGGGTTTAGGGTTGGGGGTTCTTTAGGGGGCTGAATAAGACTAAGGGCCCCTTTCTACCCCTTAAGACCCCCTGAATCTTCGGCAGGTCAGGTATATTCCCCTGCGCCTGACGGCAGAAGAGCGCAGCCCGCACCACAGGATTCCAGCCCATGATTCGCCTTTTCAAGGGTTCCCCTATTGCCGCCCTCTATACTAATCCCCCCAGGTTCCCCCGTCTTACTTAAGGCTTGTTCGGGATAGTTAAGCCTAGTTAAGGTAATTTAGGGGGGGGAACCTACAGGGCGTAGTATAATCCTAGGTAGGATGAGGGGGACCCTTACAAGGGAACCCCTTCTTAACCCTCTTCTGGCTCTCTTAAACAGGGACCTTATTCAGAGGGTCTATATCCCCAAGGGTCCCCCTAATCCTATCCCCTAGTATAGAGGGAGGTAGTAGGGGAACCCATGATCTTTGGGGGAGAGGGTTTTTGGGGTTTAGAGCTTATTGTGTTTCGTCTTTGCTAGTAGTATTCCCTATGGTCCCAACATAAGTATACCATAATAGCTAGCCCCCGAAAACCCTATTCGAACTACTAAGGCCCCTATATTAGTCTGGGAAATGGAGGCTTTTGGCTGTCGTTCCTTTGGTGTGCAGTTGGCTTGCGCCTCTGCGCCCTTCGGTGCTTCTTATAGAGGCTCCAGGCGGAGGGGGGTGGGGGGGGGGGGGGGGGGGGGGGGTGCTGCTTAAGACCCCCAAACCCTAAACCCTAAACTCGTGTTTCAACGCATACGTCGTTTTCCTCCTAAACTTCAAACCTATATGCCCTAAACCCTCAATCCTAAACCCTAAACCCTAAATTGAACTGGAGAAACCAACCCCAAAAACAACCCTATACTTCAAACCTATGCCGAGGTCTTCTTGGAATCCTGGAGGGCGCTCTCTACGTCTCAGAGTGCCACCAACAGGGGCCCCAATCCCTAAACCCTAGCCCTAAACCCTAAACCCCAGAGGTTGGTAAGTGTGTTTTGGGAAAGGGCTGAGGGTTTGCCTAGGATATTCACAAGCGTTGGCGTCTACTGCGCCGAATACCCCTACACCAAGATCCGCCCCAAAACCCTAAGCCGTAAACCTTAAACCCTAGACCCTAAACAGCAAACCCTAAACCCTAAACCCTATAAACCCCGATATCACCGGCAGAGTTAGTTTTATTCTAAGGTCGAGACCATTGGCCGGAAGTGTGGTCCCTTGCTACATAAGGGTTGTATAACAAGGGACCCGAATTCCTAAACCCTGAACCCTAAATCCTGAAAAGGGCCTATACTTCGGATCCGCTACTTTTCTTGCGGCGATTCAGGGTTTTTAGAGAGCTCACACTTGAGAGTTCAGGGCCCCCCCCCCCCCCCACAGGGTGGGCCCATTTTTCTTGTTTTTGTGGGGGTGAGGTTCCCGCAGAACCCTGAAGCTTTACAGTTTGGGGTTAAAGCTTCGGGTACAAACAGGATCTAGGGGGGCTTGCTTTGCATGGGTTATCATGGTTCTCGAACCGCGAGGGGCTTCGCTACTGAGGTTTGTAGATCCCAGCATTGTCGGTAGGGTTTAGGGATTGGGTCCTAGGGTTTTATCCCAAACCTCGTTTAGGATTTGTCCTGTTCGAGAAGATTCTGCTAAGGGCTCCTCCTACACAGCCTCGTGGTTTTTTGAGATTGTAGACTTCATCTCCGGCAACACAGAGTTGCAGCTACGGGGGTTCCCTAAACTCTGAACCCAACAACAACCCAAACCAAACAGCCCCAAACCCTATAATTGCCCATTGTCATGCTTTGGGGTAAGCTCCAGGACCGCCAAGAAGCCCTAAACCCCCAACCCTAAACCTGTCGCAGTTTTTGGGGATGTGTTTTGTCTTGAGCAACCTCCGCGCCGACATCTCCGCAGTTGCACAAAAGTTAGAAGGGCGAGAAACATGTTGCAGAGGCGCATGCACTACCATCTCATCTACGAACCAGACGGCAGGTCACTGCAGACATGACATCCTCAGCCGGAACCAGAAGTCCTAAGGTTCAGGGTTTAGGTTCAGGGTGTAGACCCGGAAGTTCAAGTAAGCTCCTTAGAGTGCGTTGAGCCCACTGTGAAAGGCCGGGACCCCAGAGGCTTTGCGGGGGGGGGGGGGGGTAACTTTAGGGTTTAGGGCTTGGGGTTTGGGTTTAGTGTTTCCTAGCTATAAGTAGGGAGTTAAAGGGGCGTTGATATAGCTTATAAGTTGACGAACGTAGCGTAATCAAGCCTTTTCAACCCGGAAACTTATAAGCTCTTCAGACTGACTCCAGCGACTACCCCATTCAACCAACACTCTACCCCCAAGACCTCATACCAAAACTCTGCGCAACTTCCAACGGCTGTTATTGCTAGTCTCCCCATAGCGACACCCCCCCCCCCCCCCCCGGTGTATGCACTCACAAATTTCGAACAGGGAGCCCTATATGCATTCACCAAGAACAGCAAAACAGGTTCTACCTCATATCCCTTTCCCTATATTTCCAGGGACCGAAATTATTTAGGTCTCTTTTTGGGTTTACGGTTTACAGAATATGGTATTCAAAAGAACCCTGACGAGCGCAAGACTTACGTCCCTGGAAGCAAGTATTGGGTTGACACCTCAACCTTACACCTCTATATTATTCCCGAAGGGCCCATGTAGCCACAAATAGAACTTGGTCAAGAAGACTACTACATAGGAAGCCCTTTAAGCCCAAGTACATGCTATATAGGTACATGCACCCTCTTGGATATATGCCTGGCGCCCCAAACCCCAAACCCCAAACCCTAAATCCTAAACCCCAAACCCCAAACCCTAAACCCTAAACCCTAAGGCCCGAAGCGGCCCAGGCCCTGTCTGTCAGCTTTCTGACGCGATGAGCCGGGCTCTCACAGGGATGAATTCCAACAGGTAAACCCTAAGCCCTAAACCCTGTTAACCCTACTAACCCTAAGCCCTAAACCCTAAACCCAGAACCCAGACCCCCGGGAGGATCCAGAAGGTAGAACCCACAAGTAGTAGCCTTTGCTACTATTGGGTCCTTTGTAGGAACCCTGATGGGGATACCCTAAACCCTAAACCCTAAACCCTAAACCCTAAACCCTAAACCCTAAACCCTAAACCCTAAACCCTAAACCCCAGTCAAAATTTTGGATCGTTCCAGGGTCTGGGCAGGTAACTTCCTGGCAGGAGGGATGTACAGAATATTTACCCTGGAGCTTCGGGTTTGTTGGGTCTTCAGGGCTTTGAGACTTTAAGGTGGCCCTAAACCCGAAACCCGAAACCCGAAACCCGAAACCCGAAACCCTAAACCCTAAACCCTAAACCCTAAACCCTAAACCTTGGGCGTCTTGGCCCTGGCTCCCAGCTAGGTGCTGCGCTGCGGAAAAGCAAAACCATCGAGCAGATCTATCAGCCTCCTGGCGGCACTATTGCTTCCGCAACCTGCAGGTGAAGTAGGGTTTAGGGTCTGGGTTTAGGGTTTAGGGTTTAGCGTTTAGGGTTTAGGGTTTAGGGTTTGGGGTTTGGGGTTTGGGGTTGGGAGTTTGGGGTTTAGGGTTTAGGGTGAAGAATGAGTCCAACTTGTCCTGGGAAAGACTGCAGCGCGTGCGCCGTCGGAAATGCTGGGGATCCTCGAATCCCCCCGCCCCCCACTTCCAAGGTTTTTCGGATTGTAGCGTTTTCGTACTCTAGGTTATTATGCGGGGTAACCCTACACCCGAGCCTTGTTCAGCACCCACCCCGCACATCCGCGGCTCTACGGTCCAGCGTCGCGACGGTTTGGAGGTTTTCGGCGGGTTCGATACTGTCGGAGGCTGGACGCTTCGCCCCAGAACCCTAAACCCTAAACCCTAAACCCTAAACCCTAAACCATACTACCAGTCCCTTGTGGGCTTGCCTTTCCGATTTCTACCGGGTACGCTTCCTCGGCTTGAGATTCCCATTTTGACTGGGGTTTTGTGTCTATTCTTTTATAGGGAGTATAAGAGGGGGCATTGTGATCCCTATTGGTAGTATGGTTTAGGTTTAGGGTTCAGGGTTTAGGGGTTTAGAGGTTTAGGGGTTTAGGGGTTTAGGGGTTTAAGGGTTTAGGGGTTTAGGGGTTTAGGGGTTTAGGGGTTTAGGGGTTTAGGGGTTTAGGGGTTTGGGGGTTTGGGGGTTTGGGCGTTTGGGGGTTTGGGGTTTGGGAATTAGGGTTTAATTTAGGGGTTAGGGTTCAGGGTTCGGGTTCAGGAAGCCTAGGGTATAAGGTTATGTTGTCAGCACGGCCAAGTGGCTGGCGGCGACGTCGCCGCATGTTCCGCTCTGCTGATGGCTCTTTTGCTCAGCACATCAACGAAGCCATGAGCTCGTGCTTGCGAAGCAAGGCAAGACACAGGACCTAGAGTAGACCCTGATTCCCTTTCTTCCTTGGGTTCCCTTACAACTTATCATCTCCCTGAGACCAAAAAGGTACCCTTTTTCTTCCTAGGTTACTCCTGGGTCTAGAAGAACAGGCAGCTTGTCATAAGTGAGGGAGTGCCGACTTTGCCAGACCCTTGGGAGGATCCAACGAGTAAAACCCCCAAGATAGTGGGTCAAGCCCGAAACCCTAAACCCTAAACCCTAAACCCTAAACCCTAAACCCTAAACCCTAAACCCTAAACCCTAAACCCTAAACCCTAAACCCTAAACCCTAAACCCTAACCCTAAACCCTAAACCGCCCATTTGTAGGAACCCTTAAGGGGATCTACTTTTTTGGATCCACCCAGGGGTCTGGGTTTGAAAGCATATTGGGTACTTGACGGCCATGACATCGCCTCAGTTCGAATCCCGGGAGAAAAGCGTCTTGACTTTGTTTCCAGGCTGCATGTGGGCAACGGAATTTTCCCTTTTGGAGTTGGAGTTTCTTCTTAGGGTTTAGGGTTTATGGTCTAGGGTTTGGGGAATGTTCCTTGTGGAGCTGGAGCCACTTCTTCTCACCAGTGAGTCTACCAACCTCTTGCTTAAGAACAACCCCCTCCCCCCAAAATTGATGAAACCAAGCATAAAACTTCCTAGTAGTAAGGGCAATATTGGGGCTATTATCTTGATTAGGGTGTAGCGTTTAGGGTTTAGGGTTCAGGGTTTAGGGTTTAGGGATTAGGGTTCTTTTTGATATTCATATCCCGGAATGCCCTTGCTGTGTGCGCCAAGGATCTATCCCAGGGTGCCTTCGCAAAGGTTGGTCCTCTTGGGTCTGAAGAAGCGGGGCTTCGGACAAGGTACCTGGGTCAGTAGGGTTTAGGGTTTAGGTTTGTTGAAAATCATTTTGCATATGCTTATAAGTACTTAATACACAGTAAGGAACAATAAATGATTATTTGCAAAAGTACCCTAACAACGGTGCAGGTAAGTTCAATGGCTTTGGTGGTAAACTTGAGGCAGGCGAGTCCCTTGAAGAAGGTGCCCTCAGGGAGCTGCGAGACTGGGTTTTGGAGTACTACGCTTTAATACATTTTTTGGTTCTGGGTTCCTATAGTAGCTACTTATACCTAAAACCCTAAACCCTGAACCCTAAACCCTAACCCCTAAATACTTTTTTTCCAGGGCCTACGCTAAGGAGAAGAGTGCGGGCTTCGCGCAGATCTCACCAGCCTGACGTGGCGAGGATGCCTCACGTACCTTGGCTTGCTTCTAGAGGATGGGCCCCCCTAGTTATAAGGGCCCTAAACCCAAAGTAGGTTATAAGTCCCTTAACTATAGTTACTATACTAAGGGGGCCCCTCCTTGTAGCTGGCTCTTAGGACTTGTTGAAACTTTTTTGGAGTTTGTTTTGTAGAAACTACAAGAAGGAGCCGAATAAATAGGTAGACTCTTTAGGAGGGGGATTCCGAAGTCAGCCAAGGTACATTTATGACACAAAGCCGAAGGCCATGGAAGTGAACATCTTCGACTTGGAGGCCTGGGGCGGCGAGCCGGAGGAGACGGAAGAGATCCTTGGGGACGAAATGGGCCCCAATTTTATGGGGTCATATACCCTATACTTCTGTAATTCCTATTAAGGCATATGAACAATAAACCCCTTTTAGGGTTCATTTCGTCCCCAAGGATGAAACCTGCGTGGTACTCTCACGAGGAGATCCCACTTGAGAAGATGTGGGCCGATGATGCATACTGGCTACTTGGTAGCTGAATGAGCACCACGGTTTAGGGTTTAGGGTTTAGGGTTTTGGGTTTTGGGTTTTGGGATGCTCTAAATCCCCTGCAGAACTGAAAGTCTGCACTTCTTTGGGGCTTATGAACTCAGCAACTAAGGCTGCTGCAATACTTGAATCAGCAGATGGCTACGCCCTTCGTGGGTCGATTCCGTTTCAAAGGCCACGAGGGCCCAGACAGCTGGAAAGTTCTGGAGCACTTCGTACGGCCTCTCTTGCCTGCTTCAGTTCCCCGAATGGGGCCAAGCGCGCAGATTGAGCCAGGAGCCGCGCTCTTGGTCTCGACGGTGAGCTTTATCGGTGCCCCAAGTGCTCGCCCGTTGGAGTCTTTCATCCGCTACCACCTGCTCAAGGGCTTTGCTAGGGTGATGATATTTGTCGACGACCCAGCTGATTCGGCAACACTGGATGCAGTCCGACGCTTTCCTGCGTCTCGCGTGCTGTATCGCGTGCGCGGCGAGGAGCTACTTACTGTTGGTTAGTAGGAAACGAAGGAATGTGGCACCCTATGTAACTCCTTAAAGGGCATATATAGGGGGATATAGGGTACCTCATTCCTCCATTCCCTGGTAACCAACAGTAAGGCTGTGGCGAGAGCAGCGTCAGCACTGCTCCTCCTTCGACAAGCTGGAGGGCTTTGTGGACGAAGTGTCCGCCCGCCAGCTTCTAGACTCTTGGCAGCCCAGCGATTCACCTTCACCATCCTTTGCCGCCTTTAAACTTACCATTTGTTTTTGGGTTCTAGGGTCCCTTATATAAGACCACCAAACCCCCCAAAAAAGGGGGTGCCCTGATTGAACTATGGTTTCTGGGCTACCAAGGATTTTGAGCTTGCGTCCAAGTTGGCCCCATCCCTGGGTTGCGGGTGGATTCTGTGTTTGGACTCCGACGAGTTGCTCCTTGCCTTCCGACTTTATACGCCTTTTGGGTTTTTGATAGAAACTACAATAGGGAGCCGAAAAGTTAAACTTGTAGGAGGGCTTCAGAAGTCAGCCAAGGCTCTACACCCGTGAGGAGTCGGTGGTTCCGCACCTCCAGTCGCTGGAGTCGCAGGGCATCTACCAGATGTCCTATTTGAACCATGCTCCTCGTCCTTCCACAGTAGAAGTTCGTAAAGTTGTAAGCCCTATAAACCCTCAGTCCCCTAAAGCCACAGTCTCCTAAATCAAAAAAGTAGGTTTGACGTCCCCATACAGATGGGAAGGGGGCGCCTCCTTGTTGCTTTTGAACCCGACATCGGGCGCGCAAGGTGACCCTCAAACTCCAAGACTTAGGGTTTTTGAGGTTTAGGGTTTAGGGTTACGGGTTTTGAGGGTTTGGGTTTAGGGTTTTAGGCTTTTAGGCCTGTAGGGTTTTAGGGTTTTGGGGTTTAGGGTTTTAGGGTCTGAGGGCTGTAAGTTGCTGAGGAAGCCGTGCCTGAGCAGCCTGAGACCCTGGATTACTTCGCCACTGTTTCATTGTCACTAGGGCCTGCTGGTAGGGATTCTGGGCTATGTTTTGTTCATAGACCCCCTAAAACCAAAGCCTAAAACCTAAACCCTAAACCCTACACCCTAAACCCTAAACCCTAAACCCTAAGCCCCAACCGGAGTGAAGGTTCAAGCTGCACCAGTTTGCGGTGCCGCTTACTGCTAAAGCCCGAAGTGGCCTGCGCTTCTGGATGAACCGATCTAAGCATGGCCAATATTTCTTGTTCTATGACGCTTGGTAGCCTAGGGTTAGGGTTTAGGGTTATAGGGTTTAGCGTTAGGTTTTAGGTTTTAGTGAATTTAGTGTTTGTGTTTTTGTGTTTAGGGCTTAGAGCTCAGAGTAGCCCAGTGGTGGTACCCTTTTGCCCTTTTTCGGGTTCAAGGTTCCCATATATTATCGCTATATGGCTCCTGGGCTACCAAGGACAATGGCAAAAGCGCTTGCAGAACTGGCCTGGCTGCAACTCCCGCTAGCCAACATCTTTGGCAGCTGCCCTCCGGCTACAAGTCCTGCACGGCCCTAGCAGATCCGAGGCGCATGGACGTGGAAGGCTTCAGGGAGCCTAGGTTGGCTTTTGGGACATTTCTTGTACTTTCCTTAGTTTGGGTTTCTAAGGGACCCTATATATGTTTCTATCTTCCTTATTTGGGTTATAATTATAAGGGACCCTACATGTATATATATATATATATATATATATTAATATATTAATATACATATACATATATATATATATACATATATATATATATATATTATTTTCAAAGAGTTTATAAGGGCCAACCCAGGAGTGTAAAGATCCTTGCGTGCTTCACTTTCCGGTGTGTGGCTCTGCATGGCTGACGGCAAAGTACAAGACGCTGGGAGAGTTTCCGGACAAGTGGCTGGGCAACATGCCCCTGAACCTTCGTAGCTGAGTGAGTACACTTTAGATGTATGTGGGGTTTAGGGTTAAGGGTTTATAGGGTCCATTTTAACCTTAGTAGCTGAATGAGTACACTGTACACTTTTTGGGATACTATGATCCCCTATAAAAAATGAAAGTGTGCACGCTTTTGGGGCTTATGAACTCAGCAACTAAGGAACGAGTCTTTTCACAAAGATGCCAGGGAAGCACAGCTACGTGGCGGCGATACCCTCAAGACAATGTTCATGGAGCAAGTGCTGCTTGATTCGAGAGAAGCAACTGCACAGATCGCTTGCGGAACCTGCACACGCCTCACAGAACATCTGACAACCCTGGATGCGGTGTCAACCGGCACAGTCGCTCCCGACGCAACTGCGGATGGAGCGGCTGACTCCTACGCAGTGGCTAATGGAGACAGGGCCGTGGGTGTTGAGCGTGGCTGGATCCTGTCCAAGGCCATGGGCTACCTGTCGCCTGAGTTGTAGCAGTAAGCGCACATCTGGCAAGGGGTCCTGCGCGTATTCACGGCGCTGCTGCAGCGACGGCTAGTCAGATCAGAAGGGCCTCATGCAGGACCTGACGCCGAGAACAGCAGGCACGACAGTGGCTGTCGCAGCTGCTATTGGGGTTTAGGGTTTAGGGTTTAGGGTTTAGGGTTTAGGGTTAGGGTTGCGATTGTTTGAAGTAGCCCTCTGCCAGTTCCAGTTGCAAGGAACAGAACATGCACCATTTCGCCTGAGTTCTCCTGCAGCCCTGAAGGAGATTAACATTGAACACCCTGGCAAATCCTGCTACCCTTGAACAACCCGTATGCACACAAGCACACATGATCTCGTCTTTATATGGGCAGTTCTCTAAATTAGGGTCCCTTTTGGGGTGTGTTTGTTAAGGGTGCCGTGCTAGATATAGGACCCAAAAGGGACCCCACCTTAGAGAATGGCCCATATACCTAAGTAGCCACAAAGAAGTCTCAAAATTCCCGGCTACTGATCGATCAGGTCCCTAAACCCTAAACCCTAAACCCTAAACCCTAAACCCTAAACCCTAAACCCTAAACCCTAAACCCTAAACCCTAAACCCTAAACCCTAAACCCTAACCCTAAACCCTAAACCCTAACCCTGAACCCTAAGCCCTAAACCCTGAACCCTGAACCCTAAACGCACTCCTAAGACCGGTCCTAGAGTCCTCGGGTGTAGTTCATGGTACCCTGATTGTTTGGGGGGGATGAGGGGTTTAGGGTTTAGGGTTCAGGGTTTAGGGTTTAGGGTTTAGGGTTTAGGGTTGAGGGTTCAGGGTTTAGGGTTTAGGGTTTAGGGTTTAGGGCTTAGTGTGTGGGATTCAGGGTTAGGCTTTCGAGCTGAGGGTCTAGGGTTTACTCCCCACTGCCCAGGAAGAAAAGCCAGCTGGAGCATATCCTCCTCAGCCACGAGCTCAGTATGTGAAGAATCGTCTGCATTGCTGTTTCAAGGGAGTAAAGGAGGGACCCTTACAAGAGACCTTAGGGGTCGTTTAGGGGTTATTCGGGGGCTACTCAGGTATGTAGATACTATATATTCTAGAAACAGGGGTTATATCGGGGAATTATTCCAGGGGCACTTTTACCCCTTAACTGCGCATATAGGGTTATGAGGGTGTATATATATTTTTTCTATGTCTATACATACACACGAAATTGTACTGTGTGTTTTGGTGATACTAGGAATAACATACAACCTTCTTCTTCATAGAGTAACCCTTCATATGACAAACGCAAAGATACCCGCAGCTCGCAGTAGGCCTTATGGTCGGTCCTCTTTGAGAAACCGCCCCGAAACCTAAGCCCTAAAAGCCTATACCCAGAACCCCTCCAGGGTTTCTAGGGGTTGCGGAGAACAAGCCTTACCGACTACGACACTGAGGCTCTCCAAGGGCTCTTCTCTTAGGTCTTTGGGCGGGGGAGGCTCCGAGACCATCCCGAGTTTTCGGGTTAAGCGTTTCATTTTCGGGTTTCGGGATTTGGGCTTGAGGTTTTTGAAACGCAAGGCCGCTAGACCCGAAGACCCTAAGCCCGCAACCCAGCCCCAAACTCTAAAGTCCAGCCCTAAAGCCCTAAACCATAAACCCTAAACCCTAAACCCTAAAACCCCAAACCCTAACCGAAACCCTAAACCCTAAACCCTAAACCCTAAACCCTAAACCCTAAACCCTAAACCCTAAACCCTAAACCCTAAACCCCTAAACCCCTAAACCCTAAACCCTTAAAGCCAAGCCCTAAACTGCAAGCCCTGACACACCATGCAGACGTAGACGTAGCGACGTAGAGCATGTTGGCAGCTACAACTTGCCACGCCCATGAGCTGACAAGCAACTAGGTTTAGGGTTTAGGGTTTAGGGTTTAGGGTTTAGTGTTTAGGGTTTACGCCCAGGCCTTTTGTGGCTCTACTTGGAAGCCCTTTTGACTTAGTCAGTAGGGTTAGTAAAGGTGGGTTATGGGGATTACAAGAGGATTTCTAGGGGATACTAAGTAGACTTAACTAAGTCAAGAGAGCTAGTAGGTTCCCGGAAAAAGTAGCCTATACTTCCAGGGGACCAAATGATTAGGTCCGTGGAAGTATAGGGATACAAAGTACCCAACGGCAAAACGTGCGTACCTTCGTTATAATGTCGGTACTGGGTGCTACCAGCTAAAACCCGAAACCCGAAACCCTAAACCCTAAACCCTAAACCCTAAACCCTAAACCCTAAACCCTAAACCCTAAACCCTAAACCCTAAACCTGGCCACTCAAGGACCGGACACCTACATCGGCTCAATCGAAGTGCAACGTGAGAGGCTCCTTTGGCTCTTGTTGAGGAAGCATCTCTGACACCCAGTCCCGCAACACGGAATCGAACCCTGCGGTTTAGGGTGCGGGGTTTAGGGTTTAGGGTTTAGGGTTTAGGGTTTAGGGTTTAGGGTTTAGGGTTTAGGGTTTAGGGTCCAGGGTCTAGGGTTTAGGGTTTAGGGTTTAGGGTAGCCCTAAACCCTAATTAAACCCTAAACCCCAAACCCTAAACCGCAAGCCTGGAGCTCTTGCCCTTAGAGCCACAACAGTGTAAGATTGTTGGAGAGCCTACCTATAGTTTTTGTTTCGGGTTGCAGGTTTAGATTCAAATCTTGAGGGTTGCGAGCTTTTGTAGGCATGAGTGGTGCAGGCCCCGCTGATTACTCCTCGCTTTTTAGTCTCTCAGCATAGTTATAGAACTTAAACCCTAAACCCCTAGCAAGTTGTATTAAGTGGAGGGATCAGCCGCAGACTGACGTCCAACGCCAAGGAAGTCCCATGATATGTATACATATACATAATATATATGTGTGTGTGTGTTATAGACGGTTCATAGTGGGTAAACATGGAGGCTAGGAAAGGTTTTTTTAGGATTGGGCTCTAGGGAATGTAGGGTTTTTAGGCTTGAAGAGGTTCTGGGGGCATGTAGGTTTTATACAGGGGTACAAGGTCTGTGGGGTACAAAGGGTTCACGACTTTGTGTCCGGCCTCCGTCCTCGACCCTGGGGGCAGCGTCTGCGCCACGACTTGTTGTCTAGGACCGGGAGTAAGCCCTTTTTCCCTCTTTTTAGGGTTGGGGTTCCCTTATAATCCCCTCCTTAACACCAAACAGGGCACCCTTTTATTCCAAGGTTACTCCCGGGTCTAGTTGTCAGGCTCTTCGTCTGGGATGATGCCAAGCAGAAGATCCTCCGCAGGGAGGTGCGCCTAATCCCCAAACACTAAACCCTAAACCCCAAACCCTAAACCCTACAACCCAACCCCTAAACCCTAAACCCCAAGCATGGAGGTCTGGAGTCAAAAACCTCGAATATCCCCCGCCCACACGATCCTCAGATCGACTTTGCAAGGGCCGTAAGGGACTTCTCAGGGTGAGAGCCCCTCCCAAAGCCGATCGGGTTTAGGGTTTAGGGTTTAATCCGAATCCCAAAGCCCTCAACCCAGAACCCACAAGCCCTCATCCCGGCATGAAGGATTCTTTGGAACCCTCGTATATTTCTCTCGTTGTCTTCCCCCTAGGCTCAAAATAGCCCAAAAACCTCATCTGTGGGCCCAAATACCCTGAAATAAGAGTCCTTAGAGCCCTAGGGTTCAAGTGATCTTATTTACGGCTATTCACAGGCTTTAAGGGGCCAGTCTAGACAAGCTCGCCGTCTGTGCTCCGTAGTCGCAGCAAGAGAATCCCTAAGGCTCCAAATAGCCCCAAAGTAGGCATTCTTTGCAGACTTTATACCCCAATGTAGGTGCTCGATTTGTATACTTGGAGCCCAAGGGAATCGCAGCTGGGGAGTGGCTCGGCTTGGGGTTTCCAACATAAGCATGCCTCGGGCTCCCTAAGCTTTCCTGTTTCCTGGGTACCTACCGCCCACGAACCCCCCTCCCTTTTGGGGTACACTGAGGGGTACCACCCCCGTTTCAGGACATGCCCATTTGGGTTAGGGCAACAATGTCTTTTCTCTAAGGGGAGCTACATGGTCACTGAATCTTACCTTCTTTCAAAGGGTTCTGAAGTACAAGCCCTGGGGGTTAAGTGGCCATATAAGGTGTAGTATGAGGGATCTCCATTTCAGGGCCCATATCCAGGGACCATGTAGACACCCTTAGATGTGCTGACTTTCTCAGCGCACTTGTTCCGAGATCAACTTCGTCCCTGGCCTGTACAAAATCTTCGACGAGATCCTGGTGCCTGCCCCGGCTTCCGCATTCAGGGGGCTCTATCTTGAAACCCTCAGCTTGTACCCTTGAGTTTGGGGACCCTTTGGAAAAGGTTCCTAAGGTAATACATGGGCCATATCTGTTTTGATGGAACCTCCTAGGCGTACATCCTTAGGGGTCCAGGTTCGACTCGCAACCCTAAGCCCTAAGCCCCGAAACCTCAACCCCTAAACCCTAAACCCTAAACCTCTAAGCAGGAATTGGGGCGTACCAGGCTTGCAGGGTTTTGGTTTTTAGGTCTACATCTAGGCCAAACACCTGATTCTTCACCCCAAACCCTAGACCGTAAATTTTAAACCCTGAACCCTTAACCCAAAACCTCAACCCTAACCCCTTAGCCCCTGCACCCTAAACCCCAGAACCCAAACCTCTAAGCCCTAAAGACCCTCCTCGACCCTAAACCCCGCGGCCTCCCCTTGCAATGCGACAGGTGAATGCATGCGACAACTTCCAGCGGGATCCGAAGAACATGACTTACATCAAGGCATTGTCTGGGGATTTAGGGGTGTGTTAAGGGGTTTATGAGCGCTTGTAAGGGCTTATCAAAGCTCATGAAAGCTTATGTGTGCTTAAGGGTTTAAGGTTGAAGGGTTTCAGGGTTTTTTGGGACTAAGGCTTTAAGGGTGCAGGGTTTGTTGGGGTTTGCAGCCGAGGTTTCCAGTGGATGATAAGGTTCTAGAAGGGTTCACAGGGGTGTTTGCAAAGGGCACTTGAAGGGGATTAGGGACTTCAAGCTGCCCCAAATCC